TCTCTCTCTCTCTCTCTCTCTCTCTCTCTCTCTCTCTCTCTCTCTCTCTCTGTGTGTGTGTGTGTGTGCACATCCACGCAGGAAACAAAGTATTACATCCAAAAATCACCGAGGGTGGGGAGATGACACAGCTGCTAGGGAACTGACTACACAAGCAAGGCGACCTGAGTTTGATCCTCCAGAAGACTCACAAAACAAAACAGATGTGGAACACTGTGGCATGTGCTTGCAATTCCTTCTCAGGAAGGCAGTAGAGACAGGGAATCACCGGGGTGGCCACACAATTTCGTCACATCTTCAAGTTCCCAGCTCAGCAAGAGATCTTGTCTCAAAAAGGAGGTAGAGGAAGGGGGATTGGGGTGATGGCTCAGCAGTTAAGACAATCATGCTCTTGGCAGGGCCTTTGGGAGTGTGTGGTTCCTGCAGGGGCCAACCACCTAGAACTTCAGCAACAGGGACTGGAGCGCCCTCTTCTGGCCTCTAGGGCCATCTGCACACACGTGTGCACACACATAAGAAATACATGTTTAAAACAATAAGGCGGAGCAGGAGGGCTGTGTCAGTGCTTAAGAGCACTTGCTGTACTCTTCCAGGGGACCTGAGTTCAGCACCCATGTCAGGCAGCTCTGAGCTGCCTGTGATGCTAGGTCCATGGGATCTGACATCCTCTTATGGCCTTTCCAGGTACCTGGACTTACATGCACGGACCAACCCCCACCCTGTCCCCATACACATCATTTAAAAAGTAAATCTAGAATAAAAACCGAAATGTACTTAACAACCAAGAAAGTCACCTAGTGTCAGTCTGCTCTCCACACAATGTAAACACATACTTGCATATCATCATATGTAGGTTGGTACATAGGCATACATACACACATACACACACACACACACACACAGAGAGAGAGAGAGAGAGAGAGAGAGAGAGAGTTAGAATAAAGGCAAGAGTCCATGTATGAGAGAAGGACATTTAGCAAACATCCTCATCAATATTAAAATATCCAGGCCTGGTGGTGCAGGTCTGTAGTACCAGCCACCCATGAGGCTGTTGGAGGTGGACTGCAAGCTCAACCCTACCCGGGTAACCGAGTGAGTTCAAGGCCCACCTGGGCAAATTGGCAAGGCCCCATCTGTAAATAAAAGGTAAAGGGAGAGCTGGGCTTAGTGGGCAAGCACTTGCCTAGCATGCATGAGATTCTAGGTTAGGACATTTCAGAAAGGTCAAAAGTGAAGGCGATGAACCAAAGAAATAAGAATTCTTGACACGAGCATCCCTCAGTGTGCATTCTGGTGAGGAATGCCATGCCCCGGCAGAGGCTCTCTAGATGGCCCTTGGCCCCAGTTTGCTGCTACACTGCACTAATGGCTGCTGGCTTCGGAGTCTGATAACTGAGTTCTGAGATCCCACATTCTGCTCATTCCTGCATCTCAGGAGCCTCGGGGAGGGACGTGACCCAGCAGAAATGGCCTTGGTAGCCCTGGGTCCCTGCAGCAGATGAAATTGTGCTTCCCCTTCCCCACACTTCTACATCAGGGTCCTCCCCCAGAATGGGACTTATTTGGCATGCCGGTGTTTGCAGACACAATTAGTTAAGTTGCAGGTGCAGTAGAGAAGGCTGGACCCTACTCCAACATGGCTTGCTGCTACAAGGGGGTCTAATACAGAGCCACCCAAACACAGCAAGAAAGCATGTGTGGGTCGGGCTGCCCTTCCGCAGTCCAGAGCTGCAAGAAGCTAGCGGAGAGCTGCAGACAGACTCTCAGCCGGAACCTGCAGTGGGAGCAGGGCTCTGCGGGCTCCAGCTTCTGAGACTATGCTGGGATAACTGCTTGCTGTCAGATGGTCAAGTGTACGGCACTAGCAACGCCATTTGCCCTCATCCCTGGACGCCGTCCCTAGCTGATTCCCCACCTGGCCTTCTCCTGACCGGGAGATCATCTCTCACTGCTCAGTTTCTTGGCCCCCCTGCCCCACTTGTCGATTCTTGCCTCTACTGTCTCCATGACAATGGGAGCATGCTGTCTTGTCCATGCACCCGACCTTTGCACGTGGTAACCTCTTGGTGAGCAATCCGCTTAGGGCAGAGTGGAGGACTTCAGCAGCAATACCACACGTCGACGTTAGGGATGGCAGGAGATGAGCTTGAGCAACTAGAAGGGACAGTGAGGAACAGATCGGATGAAATCTATGATGGAGACTCCCCATGGGTCTTCGAGCACCACGTGGCACAGGGGCTGGCACCACCAAGGCACTGCCGCAGACATGGGGAGGAAGCACTGGCTTGTTGTACACACCCAGGGATACCCCAGGGACCATCCCTGGTAACCCGAGGCATAGGTTACAGGGGGAAGAATTTATTTTGGCTCTCGGTTTGATGGGCTGCAGCCCGTCATGGCAGGCAGGACTTGGAGGGCAGCTGGTCCCTTGCCTCATCAGCGAGATCCCGGAGGACTGTGGGTGCTGGTGCTCAGCTCCTCAGGCCACTTTTATTTAGCCCAGGACCCCAGCCCATGGGATCATGTCTTCTACATTTGGGGTAGGTTGTTCAGCCACAGTTAACCCACCCTAGAAGCCCCCTCATGGGAACGCTCAGGGGATTCTAGACCCTGTCACAGAGCAACTGTGCTTGAGTCCTGTACCTCTGTCGCCTCTCCTGCTCCCGAGACGCCCCAGCAAACAAGAGTGCTGCCGTGGGCAGCCCAAATGACCACAGGTGACATCAGGAGCTAAGTTATATGCCTCCAAGGGATGGACTGTCTGATCTGATCCCCCATTTCACTCTTTCCTCTTGATTTCCAGATTGTGGCCAAAAAATACCGAGATTTTGAGTTTCCTTCCGAAATGACTGGCCTCTGGAGGTACTTGAACAATGCATACGCCCGGGATGAGTTCACTAACACGTGTCCGGCCGACCAGGAGATTGAACACGCATATTCAGACACTGCCAAAAGGATGAAGTGACACTAGGCTGCTGCCTTTTCCTCAGGCGACGGAGCGAGGCTCCCGGGTTCTGTGCGTCATCCCTGAAGCAGCTTTTGCGAAAGAATGCTGACTCTCTAAATGCCTCTCCAGGATGCCTTGCAATCTGTCTACCCAGACGTCTGTCCTACATCTCTTCTATGCTAATGTATGTCTTTGAGGTTCAGTGGTCTGGTAATCCACGTTTAGGGCAATAGTGTTGTGTAACTTGAAAGCAAATTGGATTTGACCTAAGTCCTCTTGAGTTTAAAGATAGTTCCCTTGATAGTTTTCATAATCACGTATAGCTTGGTTTTCTCCTCTTACACATATGGTTAGAAGGAAAATGGTGTTTTATACTTCTGAAATACTTTAGAAAAGTGTTAGAGGGTATGAAGAAGAAACTCAAAACCACCTAAAGTTTATTCTGTATAAATTCGACAACGAACTGGTGACTATTTCCAGAACCGTCCATCTTTCACGGATATACGTCTGTGCATACACATCACATATAATTTCATTCATCAGTGGTGTGGCGTTTGTGTAGGAGACTGCTGAAGGAACCTTTTGGCACCTTCATGGTCATCACAGAAGACTTGAAACTAAGGAGCCGCACAGGGACTGTGGGGGACTGTGGAGCCCCGTGGGACAGCAGGAACGAGGGTGATAGGACAGGGGTGTCTTGCTTCTGCCCCAAAGATACTGTAGCCTGTGAGTCCAGGAAGGGTGTGGAGGAGAAGCTCTGCCTTGGGGTCAGCTCCTTTTTCGGTACCTTCTCTTCTCCCTCCCCCGGAACAACTGTGCTGTTGGGGGACTCTTCCTGTGGGCCGAGGCTTGGAGATTCTCCCTGCCTCCTGTCACGGTGTGAGCCTGTTTCCTGGTCATGGCAGGCAGTCCTTCAGGGAGGATGATGTGCCCGAGGCTAGCTCATTGGCGTCTACTTTCTAGCTCACCGCTCACCGCTGCTCTTTCTGTCTCATTCTGAGGCCAGGCCCAGGGGCAGGCTGCTGGGCAGCAGCCTAATCACGAATGAGAAAACGTGATTAGATGTCCTGCAGGGCTTCTCAGGCTTGCCCCTCCACCGTGCCTTCTGCAGGAAACGTCTCCTGGATGCTTGGCTGGAGTGGTGAGCGCTGGAACCCTTATGCACACATCTGCTCTATGGGCAGTTTGGAGTAAGATCCTGAGGTTGGTTGAAGAATGTCTCCTAAGAAAACAGTCTAATGTGGCGGTCGCTTCATTTTCTTGTTCCTTAGAAGCTGTGGCTTCAGCCCAGTAATCTGTTTTTTGTCACCTAAAGAAGGTTTTCAGGGTCATGTCCAGTCCATGTCACTGTGGTCCACATCATTTCACATCTCCCTAGGGATCGGCTTTTTAAACTCGCTTTTACAGTGTGACATTCATTCTTGGTAAATGAGTCAACGATCATGTGTTAGAACTGTTAACCTTGTTCTTTTAGATTTTAAAATGATCATAAACTGTATGCCTTTCAAATTAAACACTTTGAATCAGCTTCATTGGTTTTCTCCAGTTTGTGTATGTGTTCATGATGTGCCTTCGTGTGTGTTTGTGCTTGGACGTGTGTGGGTGCATGTGCACCTGTGGTGAGTACATGGGAGGCCCGGGGATGGCTTCAGCCTTCCTTGATCGCTCTTCCACCTTTTTCTTTTGCAGCAGTGTCTCCATTCAAGCTTGAAGCTAACTGGCGAGTCTCGCTAGCCAGCTTGCTCGAGGAATCTCGTCTCTACTTCTGAGGCTGGAATTGCAGCTGGCCATCATGCCTCCCCAACATTTACCGACATTTACCTGTGTTCTAGGGAGTTGAAACCCCAGTGCAGAAAGCGCTTTCACTGCTGAACCATTTCCCAGTCTCAATAAAATCTTTTAAGTTTGCTGGGCACAGTGACATGTGCTTGTAATCCCAGAACTTGCTCTGGGAGGCAGGGGCAGGTGGCTCTCTGTGAGTTCGAGGCCAGCCTGGTCTACAAAGTGAGTCCAGGACAGCCAAGCTACACTGAGAAACCCTGTCTTGAAAAACCAAACCAAACCAAACCAAACCAACCAAACAACAACAACAACAACAACAAAAACAACAGCTTTTCAGTGGAACCAATTTCCCTCTCTCTTCTTTCTCTCCCTCTCTTTCTCTCTCTCACTTGGCCCTTTCCATTTGGACTTAACAGGATAAAATGAGGGCTACCAATGTCTTAAAAAGCTGAGAACAAATCTGAGCCAGAGGTTGCTTGATTTTGACTGGGAGACGATCCACATGTGAGCTACAGACCACAGACATTTTAATGGAACCTCGAAGGGGCTGAGCAGACCTTTGTGACCTCTGTCCAGGTGGCTGAAGTAGATGCATGTAGGGCATTTCACTTATACTGATAGAGACAGGGTAATGTATCCTTGGGGGAGTCGCCCCTAGTCCTGGTCCCTGTTCCCAGCCTTACTCCACTACCTCTAGCCCCACCCCCTGCTCCACCCTCAGTGGAAAATCCTTCAGAAATGGTGACTGTTGTCAATTTGTGATGAGGCAATTCATTCTCACTTTTAGTTGCTGATGAGACCTGAGAAACGGAAAATAACTGTGGTATTTTACTAGAAAGCCAGCTTTCCCCTGACTCCAGACCCCCCAGCAACAGGCTGGAAAGGAGCTCTGCACAATTACCCTTTTTTGATTCTCCCAACAAACGGAGATGGACCAGTAGAAGTCAGGCTGAGTGGGAGCTCTTAGCAAAGTGCACAGGCCCTCCCCAGAGCTGGAAATGAAAGGCCTTCACCCCCTCTGTGCGGCCTCTGCACACACGAGCACCCGCCACACGTGCGCATTGCAGAGTTCACCACACCTCCACCTCCACCACACATGTGTACTTCACGCCCTCACACAGTCCCACACACATCTGCATGCATATCCACAGACACACGAACAGTCTCCCCAGCTCCCAGGGCCGGTGGAGCTCAGGGCTCCTCTTCGACACCTGCCACCAAGACTGGCGACTCAGGCCCAGCAGAACCGCTGCTGTCCTTAGTCCTCCCTTCCAAAGCTGTTCTTGGAAATAATTGCTTTTAGGAAGTTAGACTACCCCAGCTCTTCTTTGCTTTTACAGTTAAGAGAACAACAACAACAAAATTGCCTCGTTCTAAGACTGCATAGTCCACAAGCCTACGAAATTAACAGATTAAGTGAAGAACATTATAAAATGACAATGGTTTAGCTCTTCCTCGTCAGTTTCCACGCCGCTGGGTGTGGCCACTTTATGAGGCTGGGTGGATAGTTGTGATCCCTGGCCATAGGGACAGGCTCATCCTGGACTTGCAGGTCCAGCCTGCCCTCCTCTGTCCTCCGTGCCCTTAGGAGGCCACCAGGGCAGTGACTGCTGTTGGGTTCTCACTTCAGAGGGCTCAGCTTGCGTTTTGGACACTCTTGCTTTGAATGAGGGTGTGTAGTGAGGGAGAGCCCAAAGGCTCCGATATTTGGCCAAGACCAGTACAGGTTACTTGGTCCGGTCATGGTCCAAGGGAAATTATGTTCCAGAAGCATGGAGCTGCTCATGTGAATGGCACAAGGAGTCATCCATCCAGAGAGTAAAGCCTCAGGTCGATGGCTAATAGGTTTTATTCTACACACCGTTTGTTTCACCTCTCTCCACTCCTGTCCTAGCTCCCTCTTGGTGCCTCCAGGGGTCCTGGATCTTCAGCAGATTTAACAACTCTCTTGGAAAGAAGCCACTCCCCCTCCCCCGTGAGTGCTGCTTGCCCTCACCTCTTCCCCAACCCTCAGTGTGGCTTCCCACAATACCCTCAGTGATGGGACAAGGAGAGTGGCGCCAAGGGCTGGTCTAGAGTGGTCCACTGTCCATCAGGCCAGCTGGCTCCTGTCACCTTGGAGGGCTCAGATTTGTGAATCTGAGTTTGCTGCCTTTCTGAAGCTCTGATCTCTATGTACCAACACCTGCTGGAGCCCCGCCAGGGGCTTCCGATGCCCATAGGCTCCAGAATGATCTTGTGATAGCCCAACTCCCAGAAGGAGGTGAGTCCTCTCTGGGGCCACTCCTTGCTTTGAGAGCAGGAACTGTTTTCAGACGATGTTAAGGTTTTCACTTGCTTATTTTGTTTTTCCATTCAGGGATCAAATACTAAAATGCTGCGGGTGTTTCAAGCTTCTTTTTCACAAGGATTTTTGAGGCAGTACTGAGGAAAAAAAAAAAAAGGGCAGCCAAATCCTGAGCAGATGTAAGGTCCTAAATATGAGGTTCTTAAGACATTCTCTCTACAGAGCTGGTGTGGCAGCCCACACCTGTAGGCCCAGCATGGGGAGGGGGAGGCAGAATGAGTCCCTTGAGTTTGAATCTAGCCTGGGCTGCAGATTCAGGCTTTGTCTCAAAAATAAAGTCCTCTATAATCTACAACATATCTGGCTGTATGTAAATTATTATTATTATTGTATTTATTCTTCTGATTGGCTATTGTAGAAGTTGTCAGAATGGCTAAATTATATTGGCCACCATAGAAGTAAGAATGGATTGGACATGAATTTGATCCTTTGTCACACAGGTGGGAAGCGTTTATGCTCTGACTTCTTGGCTCCATACAACATGGGGATGTTGGAGAGGTGGTCACTGAGTCTCAGCTGTCCCTCTGGGCTGACTGGCATGGAGATCTGGCCCAGGGCTTTGTCAAGCATGCTGACCTGGAAGGCTCCATACTCGACTGACAAATTGATTGGGAAACGATATCATTTGGCTTGGGCACACTATTTTCAATTGTCTGATACTTATATGAGACTCAAAGAAATGGAAGAGCATATGGATCAAGGAGTTTTTGTCTCCCCCAAACAATCTAGAGTCCTAGACCCATGCAAGCCAATTTCTCCTTCCCACCACTAGGTGGCGCTCCCTCCCACCCCGACGCCTCGCTCCACTCTCTACTGGGGTGGACTTGAAGAACTCATTCCCGCCGATGCAGACAGATTTAAGATTTCATGCAAACGTGGCCCAGGCCTCTAGGGGTCTTCCCAGGTCTGCAGGTGGCCTGCCAGGGCCAGAGAATAGTATGAGTTCACCTACTTCAAATATTGGGTTGGTTTGTCTGGAGTTCTGAATGACCACAGCATTTAGCTCAGTCCTGTAATTTTCTGCCTTGTCACGGAAGTGCCAGGGACAAGAAGCCCCTGGTTACGCCTGACACCAATACAAGTGGGACAGCGGTGTGCTGAAATCAAATGTATGGATTGGTTGTTTGGCGATAGATTCAGGGACATTTAAATCAATCTTAGGGACTCAGAAGACCCACAAAGTCCAATATGAGGCCTTAATGTTCTCACTGATAGAAGGGGCGTCATTTCCCCTCGACACCACGTCTCTCGTTGTACAGGGGACACGTACCTACCCTCCCTACCCGCCTTTCCCCACAAATGAAGGTGGATGAGGCATTACGTCACATGTCGCCGGAGCTGGGGTCATTCATCATCAGGCTTTGGGCAGATGTCCTTCAAAGCTACTCTGCAGTTCAACTCTGGTTTGTGAGCCCTGGGTTACAGCAACCTATGGTGTAGTGAAGAGCTCGGGACCTGCACAGATGGGAAGGGTAGCTGTGATTCACTCTGAGTGCGTGCACCCCCCCCCCCACAGGTGTACTGACGTAACGTGTATTGTGTGAATATGAACACACACTAATGTAAAGAGTTCTCTCAAGTCCACAGTGGCTCGGAGCTGCAGACTGTGAGCTTATTTCGAAAGAGGATCTCTGTAGACGAAATTAGTTAGATCCTGACGAGGTCCCGTTGGGACCTGTCACAGATGTGTCCTAAGAAGGGATGCTACACAGACACACAGAGGGCAGGGCCATCCACAGGCAGCTGAGAGTTCCAGCCTCTGGCCAGCGAGAGGGCGACACGGTGACGATTGAAGCTCCACCCACTATCCTTGGTCCTTTGCTACTGAATCCCCAGGAAACTAAGACAGCGATTGGATGGCTGTGGGAGAGAGCCATGGTGTTACTCTTTTTACTGCTGTGACAGAACCCCTGGCAGAGCTGAGTGGAGGAGAGCTGTTTATTCAGGGTGATACTGCAGCCCATCGCTGTGGTGGGAAGGTCTGGGGCCAGGAGTCAGACCAGGCTGAGGCAGTGGAAAGACAATGCAGCAGGTTAGGCTGCTGTGGCAATCGGGGAACAGCTCAGAGCAGAAGCACAGCCAGCCTCCAACCCTCAGGCCCTACTCAGAGACCCCTACCACTCAATGCCCATGCGTGAAAGTTCCAAAACAGTGCCAGAAGTTGAGGACCAGCTGTACAAACACAGGGGCTTGCAAGGGAGGGGCACATTGCTTCTGATGTAATAGCAGCTGACCCCCTGAGCCTCCCTGCCCTCTCTGTCGAATGTGGGGATTGTGTGGCATTGCCTTCTATGCCTTCTCAACCTCTTCAGTGCTCAACCCTGATTCAGACTGATGGGCTCAGACCCAGTGATAATATTTGAGAATAGTCCCCGAGCACAGAAATGAATTCT